GACATATATATATATACATATATATATATATATATATATATATCGAGATTATTAATTAAGCTGAAATAATTTGTTATCTCACTCAGATTTGTAAAATTTTATAAATCTTTACCAATCATAAAAAGTATGTTAAAAGAGTACGAATAAAAAAATGCGTTGCTAAATTTCTGAGAGAAAGTATGTCAAAGTGTCATGCTCTTGTAGTCACTCAGTTTATTGGATCAAAGTTAGTTAATACCCCCACGCAATAGTTTTAATCATGGTCACTGTTTTTCTCTTAACGTGGTCCCGAATCTAACCGTGTCTTGGCTTTGGAAGTGACAGACACACAGAATGTTTTGTCTATACCTTGATGATGCTGGCGTTTCTTGCTTTAACAGGTAAACTAATTTAACTACGAAATGTTTGAAACAACATTTTAAGTAGGTTCTCATTGAAAACAGGAAATAGTTCTAACACGTTTTCTAACAAAATCAATATCAATATAATTAAGCTATAGTCTGAAGAACCAAATTTGAAAACATCAAAGCTTAGATTTATGATGATCTATGTGTTACAGAGTATCTTGCATACTTATATAAAAAGTTACCAGCCATGGCCTATTATGCAGTTCCCACCTCTCTAACTTCCTTTGCAACAATGGACGTAACAAAAGAGAATAAAGTTCTTCTTCACTCACTCTCCAGCAAAGGCTTATGCAACCATTCAGCAATCACGAGGTCTTACTCTAGCAATCTTATGTATTACTCCTTTAACCGCATCCAAGCCACATCAATGCAACCAAAGCATAAAAGCAGCCACTCAGAAACAAGCAGGGACATGAACATGAGGCAAAAGGGTATCAATATTCAGGAAAACATGGTGGAAAGCAGCGAAGAAGACATGATAAATAGAGCCAACTGGGTACACATATTAATGAAAATTAAGACATATTGGAGAGGCAAACTACCTAAAGAGAGCATGGATCCGGATATAATATGCAAACACAACATGAATAATCAGTGTGATTGTGATGAAGATGTCAGTTTTTGTGTGGCAGGTTATGAAGAAGGAGATGAAAAGGAGGAAGATGGACAAGGTGTGACATGTGATTGTGACTCTTTCTCAAAATTTTTGGTCCCAGTTTCGTGGTATGATACCAAACTATTCTCTAAGTTAGCTTTGCTATGCAACATGGCTTATGCCATACCACAAATCAAGGTATGCAGAGAATGGTTGGATACTTTATCAACTATTTGTCAATACCTGGTGTGCTTCATTTCTATTTTCTAAAACTGGTTTTAGTATTTAAACTGCAACTAAATAAGGTTGCTCACTGCTGGAGGAGGGTAGTGCAAGAAATATAATAGTATGGAATCCAAGGAGTGGTTGAATAAGATGAAAATAGAAGAAGAATATGAGAAAACATCTCCCAATTGTTTCTGTTTTCTTTAAAACTCATTTTCAAGTGTTAGTAGATTTTGGAAGAGCAATTGATTGTTGAATAGTGTGGAATTGTTTTATAAAACAGGTTTTAAAACCAAAAGTGAGAAGATAATCAATCAGACCCTTAAGAGTGGGATTTGGATTTTTTTCCTCTCCATATATGTATGATCTAAAAAAGAGACAAAACTAATCCCTGCCAATTAATTTTTAGGCTAAGGACTTGGAGAGATACAATGGTCTTCAATTCGTAACATCATCTTTGGAAAAGAAAGGTGACGTGACTAAGATAAAAGCAAAACTTGATCAGGATTCCATTTGTGTGCCTATGGATGCCTCAGTAGCCTCTCATCAAGATGGCTCAGAGAAAGGTGATGATAATGAACAGAAGCATCAAACTAAGGACCTTTTGTCTCTTGCTTCCAAGTCACAGCAACATAGTGGCAATGAAGATTGCAATGGAAGAGAAGACTCACCACATGAGGAGGCTGATGAAACCCCACAGGTTCAGAAATCAAAGTTGACAGTTAATGTTGCTGCATTAACAATGACTGTTGTGGCTGCAGCAGGAACAGCAATGGGCCTTCAGTTAGTTCGTTCCTCATCTTGTGAATGGTTTGTTTGTGATGATCCCAATACACACACTCGATGCTTTGTCATTCAGGTAAAACTACCCTATACAATGTCACAAAACTTAGCTCTTAGATGAAGACATAAATGTTTTATGTTACACATCTAAGTTATAGAGGCTTTGGTATGACCCGAACCAATAATCAAGGTTTTAAATTGCGCTCACGATTCATTTTTGTTGCGTTCTTTGATATTGTGAGAAAGTGCGACCAAACCAACATTGCAGTCACAGACTGTTCTTTAGAACCTTGATAACAATCTCAAAAACTTGAGTTGTAAGTGAAAACACACAATGATTTTTTATATTACACCTCTAACATGAAGTGCCATCAAACCGCTTATGTCAACACATTCCCTTTTTGTTCACCGAGTCCTATCATATCTATAAGGTTTGACTTGCAATTTGTTTTATATTGTAGGGATCTTATTCTGTGGCATCTTGGCAAGCAAACCTCTCCTTTGAGCCTACCACATTTGAGGTAAGAATCATTCTTAAGGAGAGACCTTCATTCATTGTGCACCTTCAAGTTTCAAATGCTGGTAGCTTGATTAAGAAAATTACGAAAAGCACTCTAATTCATTCTTTTATAGGACACAGATGTACTTGTTCACAGTGGAATATATGAAGCTGCCAAGGGAATATATGAGCAATTCATGCCAGAAATAATGGACCATTTAAAGAGACATGGGGATAGTGCAAAGTTTCAATTCACTGGTCATTCTCTAGGGGGTAGTCTCTCACTTTTGGTCTATTTGATGCTACTGACTAGGAAGGTTGTGAGTCCCTCAACTCTTCAGCCAGTTGTGACTTTTGGTTCTCCATTTGTGTTATGTGGAGGCCAAAGATTACTCAATGACCTTGGCCTGGATGAGAGCCACATTCAATGTGTAATAATGCATAGAGATATTGTTCCCAGGATCTTCTCATGCAGTTTCCCTAACCATGTTATAACCGTCCTTAAGCGCTTCAATGGCTCATTTGAATCACATCCTTGTCTGATAAAAAAGGTAAGCAACATTCTCAGTTCTTCTATAATTCTCATGACAAATTCAGATTCATACATTAATCACTTGAATTTCTATGCACTCTCAGTGTAACAATTTTTATATTGTTAATCAATTAGAACTCTTATAATTTTTAAGGTAACTACCGTACCATACATAACAATTGTGAATAGATTAAAACATTTTCTCTTTTCTTAATTATTTGTTTTGTTTTGTTTTGCAGAAGCTGTTGTACTCACCATTGGGTAAAATATTCATTCTCCAACCAGATGAGAAAACATCTCCTTCACATCCTTTTCTTCCAGCAGGAAGTGGCTTGTATGCTCTAGACAATAGCAAATGTGGATACTCTCCAATTGTCCTCAGAGCCTTCCTCAATCAACCGCACCCCCTTGAAACACTGAGCAATCCAACAGCATATGGCTCAGATGGCACAGTTTTAAGAGACCATGACTGCAACAACTATCTTAAAGCAGTCAATGGAGTTTTTGGACAACATTCAAATATTATTGTCAGGACAGGGAGATCAAAGAAGCCACCAAAAATATTTAAGAAAAAGATGAGAAAATAGAGTTCTGCTCAATTTTATTTTATTTTTCACATTAGAAACAACAACATACTTATTAGAATCATACAATTTATAATTTTTTTTCTTTTTCTATCTTTCTTTCCCCAATTCTCATGATAAAAAATACAAAAGTCATACAAGCTTAAATCATTAAATAAAAAAGGAATTGAAGAAACACTTATGAACTTATCCTATTCTATTATTCCATTACTCAATTTTTCACTCACTCATTCAATGTATGTAATCTATTAAGCTATAAAGAATATAAAAAAATACTCTATTGAGTTATTTAGTATATATTTGAATGTCAGGTTAAAATCACTTTTAACGAAAAAATATACATTCTAATGTAAAAAATAATAATTATAAATGTACCTTTTTTTTAACTACAATTTGAGTTCAACTCAACTGTATTTCAAAATATGTCCTTATTTTTTACTTTCATTTTTATAAAATAAGGTTTTCACAAATTTTGATATAACTAATAATATCAGTGTTTTAAAACCCGGACCGACCCGGCTGGTCGGACCGGTTGGACCGGGAACCGGTGGTCCAGCCGGTCCGAATCTGAAGTTGGATCGGTTATGCAGTCGACCCGTTTCAAACCGGATTGAACCGGTCAATTTTCCGGTTCAACCGGTGAACCGGTGGGTCAAACCGGTTCAACCACTTTTTTTTTTTTTTTTAAATTTTTTTAAGGGACCATAAATCACAAAAATAATAATGAAAATTGAATCTCTTAATGAAAAAGCAAGGAGTCTTATTAAATATAACAATGACTACTTGTTCTAATATATTTGTTTGCAATATATACAACTTAAATAACTTTTATAGTATATTATTAATTTTAAATTATATATTTAATAATGCAATATCTATGTAAATATTACATATATTATTTTGTGATATTAATTGCAAGCATATTATATATGTACATATTATTTATATTTTTAATTTGTATTAATATACCGTTTAACATGTAATTTTTTTATGTATTTTTTTACAAAATAAAAATAAAAATAATTTTAAATAAGATACAAAAATTGAAATTTAAAATAAGATATGAATTTATTAAAATTTATAAGTATAAAATATATTTAATATGAATACTTTTTAATAAAAATAAATAAAAATCGAGTCATGCGGTTCAACTACTGACCCACGGGTTCAACCTTTGACCCACTGACCCAGTACCTTAACCGGTTCGATGACCGGTCCAGTTTTTAAAATTATGAATAATATTGTTCTATAAGACTTATGTTCATGTTGTTTTGACCATTTCTGATTTAAATTTTTTACGCCAAACATTATATATCATCTACATGATATATTTGAAGTAATTTTTAATTGTCTTTAAATCTTATGCTCCAATACAAATTATGATGATTCATGATTCAAAAATTAACTCAGGTTCAAGAATCCCAATTTCATAATCTTGGAAAAAAATATTAAAATTTTATTTTTGTTCATGATAAAAGAACGTGGCATAGTTAAATCTATTTAGAAAGAAAGGGGGAAATATAAATAGAAGGAAAAGTGGAAAGAAAGAAAAGACTTAAATTTGATCTGTACACGTGCTTTGTAACGACCAATGACAATGAGGAGTTATCGCAGTTGGTAGAGGGAGACTTCAGCCACGAGTTGGGACGTTTCTACCAATGAAGAGATATGGTACCCTGCCTCATGATGCCTCTTAGGTTTTCTTTTTAGCTCTTTTATAATCTTCCATTGGATACTATAACAATATATTTCCTATTTTCAAAACTCTAACATGAGAATTTAAAATTTGACAAGTAAGCCTTACATTAATTGATTTTATAAATATTAATAATTTTCAAATAAATATAGAGATAATGGTGACTTGACCTCACTAAAGTGATTCATGTTTGTGTCCATAAAATTTTAAGGCATTTTTATCTTTTATTTATAATGCACAATTCTCTTTTGTAGTGATTGATAATTCAATAATTTCATTTTATTAATTTAAATATAAATTTTTATTTTTTAAAAATAAACTACATTATAATCGTTGTATAACTTTCACATCTTATAATATTAGTAAGACACATGATACATTTTTTGCTAGTACATAGAGAGACACAAATATGAACATATTATATACTCATTGTCTTATTTAAGTAAAAGGTAAAAAAAAAAAAAAACAGAGAAGTTATGATTATAAAAAAAGAAGGAAGGAAGGAAGAAAGATGAAAAAGAAAGAGAAGAGGAGAAAGACAAAAAGAAAGAATATAAAAAGGGAGAGATAAAGGAGGAAGAGAAAAAATAGAGAAAAGCAATAGAGAAAAAGTGAGGATGGAAAGAAAAAAAAAGGAAAAAGTGTCACAAAATCTCAAAAGTTTTGATTAGATTGTGTTATATGTATACAATTTATTAAAATATCTCACAAAATTTAGCTTACAAAATAATTCATCCAATTTGTATGTTTTAAATACTATAAGACTTTTTGTAAATGGAAAAGTGTCTTAACTAAATTCTATCAGGCTTTTATATACTTAAATTTTTTTTATAAAAATATTACAATACTTATCTATATTAGTTAAAAGTATTGATTGAATACATTTAATTTTTTTCTAACAAAAAAAACTTTTAAAATATTTCAAAATCCTAATCTAATATACCCCGACTTTTCTTAACATCCATCATTTTTCATTTGCATGTGAATAAAATTCTTCTATAAAATGCATTTGAAGCTTCTTTTCAAATATTTTCCTTAGAGAAAAGCTAGTGACATGTGTCTAACACCTTTTTATTAATACTCTCTTTATTATTGGTTAAAATTATAATTTTTTTGAGTCTTATCAATAAATTAGGAAAGGAACTTGTAATGTAGAAAGTTGTTTTAAAAAGTCCAATATAGATGATTTAGTAGCTCAGAACGGGTCGTTCCCAATATTATTGTAACGTAGCAAGTTGTTTTAAAAAGCCTAATATAGGTGATTTAGTAGCCCAGAACGGCCCGTTCTGGGCTACTAAGTCACCTATATTAGGCTTTTTAAAACAACTTGCTACGTTACAGAACTCACCGAATGTGATGTGATACCTATAAAATTTGTGATTTCTAATAAATTTCAATCAATAATAAAAAAATATCATAAGGTTAAAGAGAGTGTTCTAACAACTAACACTCCTAATTTTTTTTATATATCATTTATGTTCAAAATGTAGAAGATTTACTTTAGTCAAACTTTGAAATAACTTGACTTGAAATACACCCTTCATTCACCAAAATTTCAAGTGTATTGAATTGACAACTCTCCTCTTCAAGTTTGAGACATGGTGAATAAGGGTTAGATGCATGCAAAAAAAAAAAAAAAAATCTACCACTCAAGTTAGTTTGCAATTTCACTAGAGTGATGGTATCATATTAGTGATTCCACATTACAATATCTAACACCCTTTAAAAGACAATATTAGTTTATGTTGAAGTAAGACACATCATTATGCTTTAAGTTGATATACACTCTTTTGTATTTAAGTGTAATATAGCATTTGTTCTAAGGTGATGACAACGACTTTGGTTAGCACCTAAAGTTTGCCCAAGATATTTTATTGAGCGATTTAAACATAAGTTAAATCCATAAAAATTATCAACAACTCGACATGTTTCTTATGTGAATATATCGAGTTTATGCTTTAGTGTTAAAAAAATTTCTTATTCAAATGTGATGGGATATCTACATAAAGAGTGTCATTATAATATTTTTTTATATATATTTTATCTCAATTGTAATATGATGAGATATCTTGATAAAGAGTGTAATTGGTACGATATAGTGAGAGTTTTGATAAAATGTTGATGTGTAGCATTTTATCACATATTTTGCATGATTTCTAAAATTGACCGGAAGTTAAATGATTAATTAGGAGGAAAAAGTAAAACATAACCCTTGCAAAAGAAAGATATTTGTCTATATATCTCAATTTGCAAAAATGTGATATCAACCTCTATAAATAACAAAAGGAAAACAATCTATAATATTTTAAATTTAAATTTGTCAAAAAGGAAAAAAAATAAAAAAGACTTAAATAAAGTTTATAATGCATATTGAATATAATATTCCCCTATAATTTTATGTTTTATTTCTTGATTGTGAAGATAATTGTTAAATATGAATAAATAACTAATTAAGACTTTTGTTTCACTAGTTTAAAATAAAAAAATATTAAATAACCTAAACAATTTTTGACTTATGTCAAACTTTTTCGTACTCAAATACAAAATAAGAAAAGTCAAACATCCTTAAAATGAAACATGCAAATGACAATGTATCAATAAATATAATCATGATTATGAATTAAATTAGCACTTTCCTCGTTTATTTCTTGCCATCGAACCAATATTTATTTATTTCCTTTCTCAACTTCTTCGTACTCTTTCTGATTTGTATATTAGTGTATAGACACCTGTGATGCATAGTTGAATTATAGGAGGGAAAAATTTATAATGTTTTAAAAAAACAACAATTTTGTTAATTTTTATGTTAAAGAACTTAATTTATTATTATAGAAAAATATCATATTAATTATACATGAATTTATTCATTTATAAGAAAAGTAGAGATAACTAAACGTATTTACTTCATGACTTTTAAATTTCAATCATCAAATAAATCTAATGCACAATTTTAAATAAATTATAATTTGAAGTGTTAGAAATAAATTTGATGCACATGTAGTAACTATAATTTCAGTGTTAAATCAATGGTTTGTTTTTCTGTATAAGTTGTAAAATTTTACCGTTCGCAACTTTAGCAATTAACATATTATATATTTTATAGACGCAGTTTTGTTGAGTAAAATAGTTAAAGAAGCTACTATTACAGAAAATAAGACTACATTGTGTTGTTACATTATTTAGTTTAGTATTTGTTGACAATGATTACTCTCAGAATTTTTTTCAATTATATTTGTCTAATGAGTACAATTATAGATGGAGTTTCAAAAATATATTTTACTTTAATTTTAGAATTAGAATTTTCCTTTTACATTTTCAACTCAAGGAATATCTAATATTTGTGTTTCAAGCTTTTGACTAAATAATTGTATTTTTCAACTTTTATATTTATTTTAAAAAATATTATAATATATTATATTGTTGCTTGATTAATTTACCTTGTGCATCGCCATACATTACAAGGGGCCATGTACTATTGCATTAGATAATTTACAATGTTTACTTCATTGAACTGGAGAAAACTTTATAGATGAATTAAATTATAAATATGGCACATGAAAGTCATTTTAACTAAAGAAATCATATTATTCCATTAAAAACTTTTTTATGAAGTTTGTTAATTTATTATTCCGTAAAAATACTGAAAATAAAATTAAGTAAGTGAATGAATGAATTAACATAAATTTAAGAACACATATTTTAATGATTGAATACACAAGTATACTCTATTTTAGATGTGACACTCATCTTGTGTAAATACTTTGATCATAATTGTAATTATAAATTATAAAAAGAACTAATTGTTGATGAATTAAGAATTGATTTTGGTAGTTTGAGTTTGTAAGAAGCAGAAAGTGCAGTCCAAAACACATTTGATAGAAAAGATGGGCCAGGCTTTCTCTAAATCGGGTCTGGTGATCTCAGAACCCAAATTGTTTCAGGTGACAAAAACAATTCCCTTTTAGATAAAAAGGAATGGTGCAAAGCAAATTGATGAATTATTATGATATAAATATATATTTACTTATTTGTTTCCTTTTCTCCTTTTCTTTTCTCTGTGCTTCCTTTTTTCTTTGCCTATCTCACAAGATTCTATTATCACCCTCACAACAGGCTCAGTTTGCCAATAAATTTTTGCATTACAAAAATCAAAACCAAAAAACAAAAAGAAAAACCCCTTAAATTCACATTGACAACACTCTCCTTCCTCTCAACGCCGAACCCCTTTTGTAGCCTACTTCTTCAATCCCTAATTTTCATTTCATATTTCACACACAACAACCACCCCTCGTTTTGCACCCTTTTCTCTATCTGCACCAAGACCTGTTTTTGATCGCACCCCCCAGCTTCTCTCACCCCTAATTTTTTATGCCCACCATTTCTCTTTTTGCCCACTTCGCTATTGATTCGCCCCCACACTTCAACTGTGTTCGGATTCACCCTTTTCCATTAGGGTTTTAATCATCTCAACTCTCCTCTTATTACAACCAACCAACTTTTTCATTTCTGGATTCATTTGGGTGTCTTGCAAAATCTGGGCTTTCTAACTTTTGGGGATTCGTTTGGTAGTTGCCGGGGCTCTTTGAAATTGAGGGTTTTCATCTTTTTGTGCTGTTTTTGGGTAATACCCTGAATTGGTTTAGTGGAATTTTACAGCTTTTTTTTTTTTCAATTTAATTTTTTTTTTGAAGTGGGGGAGGGAATAAAGTCCTTTCCTGGTTTGTTTGTGCAAGGGGAAATTTTTCCCTTCTAAAGTTTGAGTGAGAAAACTAAGATAATAGCTACTGCTGCAAGCTTTTTTGTGTGTTTGGGAGTTTGAATATTGGTTGTTGGAGTTATCTAGAAGGAGCTTTGGTGGTGGTGGTGTGCTGGTTTGGGTTGGTAGGTTTAGTTGGGAGTGTTGAAACATAGGCTTGCATGGGCGAACATGAGGGGTGGGCACAGCCACCTAGTGGGCTATTGCCAAATGGTTTGTTGCCCAATGAAGCTGCCTCTGTGATACAGGTGCTTGACTCAGAGCGGTGGATGAAAGCTGAGCAAAGGACTGCAGAGCTGATTGCCTGCATCCAGCCTAATCCGCCCTCTGAGGAGCGCCGGAATGCAGTTGCCGACTATGTCCAACGGCTGATCACGAAGTGCTTCCCTTGCCAGGTTGGTGTTTTGTGGAGATTGTGGTTTATTTTATTTGTTGCATAATAGCTTATGATTAGTGAGTTATGCATTGTTTTAGTTATAACTATACTATGATATTTTAATTATTGGAGGTTGTTGACCAATTGTGGTATCATTATTGAATGATGGAAGTGCTTTATAATGCTATTATGATGTTGCAAGTCTTTAACGAAGTGGAACTAGGTTGGAAATTCCAATTTGTGGTTAGAAGGTGCTTATAAAAAGTGTTTGTGGTGGGGAATATTTAATTGTGGTTTTGGTAGTGAAATTATATTCTCCCAGTTATTATTCTGCAATGGTTGATGGGTATTGTAGCTATTTTGTTTCATTCCGAAGAGCATCAGTAATGTTCTTGATGTTAACTTGCAGTTGTACTTACACATTATTGTGGAAATGATTGTTTACAATTACAGGTGTTCACCTTTGGATCTGTACCCCTCAAAACATATTTGCCTGATGGAGATATTGACTTAACAGCATTCAGTAAGAATCAAAATCTGAAGGATACATGGGCACATCAGGTTCGTGACATGCTGGAAAATGAGGAGAAGAATGAGAATGCCGAGTTTCATGTCAAGGAGGTTCAGTACATCCAGGCTGAAGTAGGTTCTCTAACAACAGAGAATCTTTAAAATACTGTCGTTCTGTGCTTATGATGTTGATTAATCATTGAGTTTATTAATATTGGATTTTTCTTGATTTATTTAGAAGTCTTGTGCTACACCGTATTCACATTCACCTAGGACAAAACCTTTGTGTTAACTTGCTTATATTTAATGATACCCACCTTACTCGTACACATCACTAGAGCACTAGTTTATGCGAATGTGGGAGTAATTTTTGGAATGGATTGTTACATCAGCTTGATGTCATGGGACACTAGGCCTGTTTATGGTTATGCATATGAAAATTGTAGATTATGCATCTTAAGTGATACCATGATAACCATAAATACAAGGTTTAAGGCATATTGTTTTAATGAATCGTTGCTTTATTCTCAGAGTTAGAGGAGTGCATGTTATCCATTACCAACTTGTATGACATTCTTTAAAGTGGGTATGTGAGATTGTTTCAGAAGCTTAAGGTCACAGTATGCCTTGTTATGTATAAGCGAGGGAAAGATTATAAATTATATTGAAGCAGCTGTGCAACCTGAAAGACAACTTTTATGTTGTATTGCTCTAGTGGAAGAACTAATACTTGTTAAACTATTGCTTGCTTGTGAAAGTGAAACACATTTTGTGCTATTAATTGCTGAATTCATTTTTTATAATTTAAATTTGTTGGTTAAGTATGGTTATACATTTTTAAATACTTAAAAGCTAAAATTCAAAGTTTTGATGTACTAGCTATTTGTTTCTAACTGTTATAACTTTTGCTAATTGTCTAGTTTGATTTAGATTTATATTGTTTCACTTCATATTTGCAGGTGAAGATTATAAAGTGTCTCGTTGAGAATATTGTAGTAGACATTTCATTTAACCAGCTTGGAGGGTTGTGCACCCTTTGTTTTCTTGAGGAGGTAATTTGGTGCATCCTGGAAGCCTCGCAGTATACCATTACAAAATGTGATATTGATAATATTGTTTTCTTGGTTTTACAAGAATTTGAGTTTGTTGCTGTAGGTTGATAATCTGATTAACCAAAATCATTTATTCAAGCGTAGCATTATCCTTATAAAAGCTTGGTGTTACTACGAGAGCCGAATACTTGGTGCCCACCATGGACTTATCTCAACTTATGCCTTAGAAACCTTGGTTCTTTACATTTTTCATGTTTTCAACAATTCTTTTGCTGGACCACTTGAGGTAACAAAAATTACATGCCTTTTTTCTTGTGTGTTTTGATGATTTATTTGACATGGTATTCTCTTTGCTTATGTAGGTATTGTATCGATTTTTGGAGTTTTTTAGTAAGTTTGACTGGGATAATTTCTGTGTAAGTCTATGGGGTCCAGTACCTATTAGTTCTCTCCCAGATGTGACAGGTAGTTACATTCTAATGAAGGTTCCTTTGTCTATATTGGTTTAGGTCCATTTTGTGTTTTGATTGTTTTTCTTCTTCCTTCCCTAACATTATCCACAGCTGAACCTCCTCGAAAAGATGGTGGAGATTTACTGCTGAGCAAGTTATTTCTCGATGCCTGTAGCTCAGTTTATGCTGTTTTCCCTGGTGGCCAAGAAAATCAGGGGCAACCCTTTGTCTCCAAGCATTTCAATGTTATTGATCCTTTGCGTGTCAACAATAACCTTGGCCGTAGTGTCAGCAAAGGTTTGTTGGATCATTTTGTATTTGGCTCATTTTATAAGTCTGTTATATTTCATCAGATTATGATTTGGACCATGTTTAAAGGATGCAGTGTAGTGTTCTTATCTTTTTCTTGTTTTTCCTATCATATATATATTTTTGTAATACATGTGTAATGAAAAATGCATAAAACTCATAAGCAGATATTTATGCATGTCTAATCATTTTCATAATGACCAGTAGTGTTTCCCAACATGACCATTGTAGTTTACTTTCATCTATATGCCTTTGGATTCATTTTCATGGGTTCTTTATTCCCATAGATGGTAATATAGAAATCTGGACATGATATAGAAGATTGGTGCTGTATTTGTTTGTAGCTTCCAATAATTTTCATACACATTTTGGATTTTAGAATCGAACAAAATGAACCTTTGTGTTTATCTGATTGGAACCAACAATGAGAGTATGACAAATTTAATGCTTCCTGCTGGAGTTAAACTTGCATTATATTTGTCTTTAATTAGTTTCCCTTAACTATATTTTATCCATTTGTATTTTATGCTAATTTTAATTATATGGTACATGTGAACCAGGGAATTTCTTTAGGATACGCAGTGCCTTTGCATTTGGAGCAAAAAAGCTGGCTAGGTTACTTGATTGTCCAGAGGAGGAATTGTTTTCTGAGGTCAATCAGTTCTTTTTTAACACTTGGGACAGACATGGAAGTGGGGAAAGGCCTGATGTTCCAAGCATTGATTTACAGCGTTTGAGTTTATACAGTCATGATCAATTACAGCGGTCTGAGAATCTCCGGAACAATAACCATAAAATTGATAATGCTTCCAATCATGAACCTAATGAAGGGGAACATGTTTCACAAAGTGGTCTATCTCAGTATAGTAATTTATCATCTGAAAAGTTATCTAGAAGTGTTGTTTCTACAGTGTCACATACTCAGTATCCAAAGAGTTATGGAAGCCAAAATAATTCAAGGACCTTTGATCAAGTCCAAAGGGAAACTAATTCCAATCAAGGTGCTCATGTTGATAAGGGTCAGAGAAATGTTAAAGCTGATAACCTACTGAGTGATGTTCAAGGAAGGTTTCTATTTGCCAGGACACGATCTAGCCCTGAGCTGACTGACTCATATGGTGATGTTTCTTCCCAAGGAAGGCGTACAAAAGCAACAGAAAGTAATAAAGGCCAGAGTTCCTTTGCAAATTTGGAGAATAATCGTAGGAAGAATGTTGAGCTTGATGTAGCTGCAAGAACCGATGAGTCATCTGCTAGGCACATCTCATCTCGTCAAGTTCTTGAAAATGCTGCTGATTCCAATAGTAATCATGATGAATCAGGCGCAGGTGTCATCAGTGAAGAGTTTGCATCTGTTGCTGGTGCTGGTGGAATGCAGATGATGCATCAAGAGGAGCAGGACCTTGTGAATATGATGACATCTCCCACAGCTCAGGGTTTCAGTGGTCAGACTCATCTTCCAATGAATATTGCACCAGGTCACCTACCATTTCCCTTTCCACCTTCCATTCTTGCATCAATGGGATATGGTCAGAGAAATATTCCCTTCATTGAGGCTCCTTGGGGTACTAATATGCAATTTTCTCAAGGTTTCTTCCCTTCACCGTTAACTTCATATTTCCCTGGTGTAGGAATGACCTCAAACCCTCAAGATTTACTTGAAACTAACAATGAGAATTTCAGTTCGGTTGAGATGAACTTAACAGAAGCTGATAATGATTACTGGCATGAACAGGAAAGGGGTTCTGCTAGTGAGGCTGAAGTTGACAACGGGAATTTTGAAATGCTTCCAGAGGATAGGCAACAGTCTACTTCAGGTAGTTATAACTCTGCCCCGTTGTCTCGGGTAGGCAGCACCAACAGCAACAGTTCTGCAAGAGTTCAACAGAAGTTTGCTAGAGAAAACCGGGGGTCAACAAGAGATGAGCATATCGATAATTTTCATTATCAAGATAACCGAAGAAATGAGGTTTACTTTGATGATAGAACAGCGAATTCTGAGTTGTCTAGTGCACCTCCTTCGAGCTCCTTCAGGAGTAGGACCTCTTCTGAAAGCTCTTGGGATGGGTCGTCAGCCAAATCTTCAAAATCAACAAGGGAGAGAAGGGGGAGAAAAAATACTCCGACAATGCCATCTCCTGTTTATGCTAAGGGTAAGAATGTTTCAGAAATTTCATCTAATCGAGTAGATGATGAGAACAGAGATTGGACTCCTTTGTCGACTATGGCATCTGATGTGTCAGAAAAAAGCACTTGGTCCACATCTGGTACTTCCATGAATGTTCAAAGGAATCAAATATCTGGTTTAGAAACTGCTCAGACAAGTGGATCAGATTCTCCATTACCCATAGCTCCAGTGCTTTTAGGTCCTGGTTCTCGCCAAAGAGGAATCGATAATTCTGGGGTTGTACCATTTACATTCTATCCTACAGGGCCACCTGTTCCCTTTGTTACAATGCTTCCTTTATATAATTTTCCAACTGAATCTTCTGACACTGCAACAAATAACTTCAATGTGGAAGAAGGGGCAGATAACAGTGATTCAAGTCAGAATTTTGATTCATCTGAGGGATATGAACACCCTGAGGTGTCAAACTCAAGCCCTTCCAATTCTGTGACAAGGGTGGCTAGTCAGTCATCAGAGCACAAGCCTGACATTCTTAATAGTGACTTTGTTAGCCACTGGCAAAATTTGCAATATGGTCGATTTTGTCAAAACTCACGTGGTCCACCTTCAATGATCTATCCTTCACCTGTTATGGTGCCTCCTGTTTATTTGCAGGGTCGATATCCTTGGGATGGTCCTGGAAGACCTCTTTCTGGTAACATGAATATTTTCAGTCAGCTTATGAGCTATGGGCCTAGACTGGTTCCAGTTGCTCCTCTTCAATCAGTTTCTAATAGACCCACTAATATCTATCAACGTTACGTAGATGATATGCCACGGTATCGAAGTGGGACGGGAACCTACCTTCCAAATCCGGTATGAAAAAAATTCTAGGGAAGTTGGTTCTTGCATTTTTTCTTACCTACCAGTGTGTGTGTACCAAAGTAAATAAGTATTTCCATTTTCAAAATCTATAGTCGGTCTAATTTTGGTTCTGCTGCTTCCTTTATACTATTTTACCTTCCATTTCAATTTATTTCAGAAGGTTTCTGTTCGGGATCGCCATTCCACAAATAGCAGAAGGGGGAATTACAACTATGATAGAAATGACCATCACGGTGACAGAGAAGGAAATTGGAATACGAACTCAAAGTTGCGAGGAACCGGGCGTGGGCATAATCGCAACCAAACAGAGAAGCCCAGCTCAAAGCCAGAGCGATTGTCAACAAGCGAGAGCCGTGCTGAGAGACCATGGGGTTCACATAGGCATGACTCATTCATTCCTCACCAGAATGGTCCAGTCCGCTCGAATTCCTCGCATAGTAATCCTTCCAACGTAGCTTATGGAATGTACCCTATACCGACAATGAACCCAGGCGGGGTTTCGTCAAATGGACCAACAATGCCATCTGTTGTAATGTTCTATCCTTATGATCATAATACTGGCTTCAGTTCACCATCGGAACCGCTTGAGTTTGGGTCTTTGGGACCAATGGGTTTCTCAGGTGTCAATGATCTGTCACAGGCAAATGATGGAAATCAATCTAGTGGAGCATTTGAAGAGCAAAGGTTTCGTGGTGGTCACACCCAACGATCTTCGCCAGATCAACCCTCCTCACCTCATGTCTCAAGGTAAATTGTTAGTTATCTACCTCTTTTTAATTGTGCCTAGATTCATGAAGTAGGCATCTTATTTTCAATTTAAAAGTTAAATTTATTTTTAGTCCCTGCAACTAGTGTCATGTTTGTTTTTGTCCCTCAAAAACTAAATTGTATCTTTTTGGCTCTTCATTCATGAAAATGTGTTAGATGTGCGTTTTGTCCTCCACAAAAAAGTTGTCTCCTTTTGGTTTCTCATTTATTGAAATTCACTCATTTATGTCCAAGCTAATTTGTAGAAACTCTATCCTAATAGCTTTTCCAAAATCTTATCTTTAACTTTTGAATAACCTAGTTTTAGCTTATGGAGAAGTTTGTTTCAATTTTCTTTCCTATTTTTTTTTCTAGAAGTGCTTCCGAGGAAATTTATTCAAACAAGTCCATAATACATTTCATAAATTAGGGATCAAAAGGAGATGATTTATTTTTGAGGGACTAAAAGAGAACAATGCTCCACTTACTAGGCTTAAACATATTTAACCCTAGATATAATTGTTATTATCATTATTCAATTGGATTGTTTCATTATGTCTTATTTTATGGTTTTCAACAGGGGCCCCTGATTCTACTGTGAGATCAGTGGCCAGGAGGAATTAACAGTTGAAAGAGGAGGTTGTTCCTCCTTTTTCATAGCAGGACACGGCAGGGCATGTAACTGGGGAATACTATCTGTCCATTTCATGGCATTATTGTTCTCAAACAGAAAGAATGCAAGTCCCTTGTTTATGCCCCAGGCTCTTGCATGTACACTTACAGTTGATTGACCAACTTTGGTTAAGTTTGTCCCATCCAAGACCATGTTTGAGGATGAATGAAGATAATGATGACAAAGAGGATGCACGACTCTCCTCCCAATCTACCTAAACTAAACAAAAAAGGGATGGAAGACTTGGTGATCAGATTTTCATTCAAAAGTTTAGACACATTTGTAACCCAACCAAAGTAGAAAACTGGCTTAGGTTCAGAGTTTAGAAAATTTACCATGTTATAGATTTGTCAGCTTCTCTTTTATACAATGTAGTTGGGTACTTGTTTTAGAACATGCACAAGATCTCTGCTCAACTTTTGAACATCGTTATAGCTTAGCAATAAAATTGTCGTGAGATAATATTTAGATGTCAAATCATCTATAAAAGGATAAATGATTATAAGGAGTTAGTTGTGATTTATAACTACTTTTGGCGAATCGTTTAGTTATAAGTTATAACTATGCATTTATCTTTCCCCGATTTTCTTAAGAATTGATGAGGAATCAATTATAATGAAACAAAATTGTTTCCGTTAAATAACAATTATACGGAAATTAGGAATCCTGTAGTTAATTAGCGGATGTTAAAAATGAAACAAATCAATCTTATGCTTTATTATTTATGTGGGTTTTTTTCTCCTAAAATTATGCCCTCACATCTTATTACTGTCTCACGTGAACGAATTTTTATGTTAGATTAAAATGATTTTAAGTTTTCTTAATTATTTTATATTGTCAATTTTGTTAAATATTTTAATTAATCTTTAATTTTTTAAATCAACATCAACTATAATAAGATATTTGTAAATTATTATTGAAATGACATTTTGTTAATTAAACTAATTTAAGAATTTTTAAATATTTATATATTCATATTTAGTTTTGTTATTAACAAAAAAAATTCTTATATATATATATATATATATATATATATATATATATAATAGATTAAATATGTTTAAACTACCTCGAATTAGCTCGATTTTCATATTACTATTTTAAAAAAAATTGTTAAAATTACCTAATAAATTTGTTTTTTTCCAATTTAGTACCTGACATTAGTTTTCTCTGTTAAATGATGACGTGGCAAATGGACTGCCACGTCATCACCCAACAGTGTCTGCCATGTTATCCAAGGGACTACCACGTGGACATGGTGATGACGTGGCAAACACTGTTGGTGATGACGTGGCAGTTTGTCTGCTACGTCATCACTTGACAAAGGGGGACCAACGTTAAGTGCTAAATTGAAGAAAAAAATTAGTCAGGTATTTAAAACAAAAAATAATAAATTAATAAGTAGTAGTCTAAAAACCGTCCAAATTGGAGGCAGTAATCTGAAAAACTGACCTAATTGAAGGTAATAATCTAAAAACCGACCTAATTGAAGGTAGTAATCAAATTGTCACTGAAGGACAACCTATTTTGAGGCCACCATATTTCGATTACATAAATTACACTGAGTGAAAAGAGCGTATGCGAATATTCATACAATCCATCGACTTCAAACTTTGGCTTGTCATAAAAAATGGACCAAAAATTCCAACAAAAATAGTGGACAATGAAGAAGTGAAGAAAAATAAAGATTAATAAGATGAAGAAGACATAAAAACACCTGTAACTAGAAACAAAAGCAACAAATGCACATAAATTAGCTTCTCATTGATCATGTATGGAAACTATTGCACTTGATTATAAAAAAAAAATTATGGAATTATATTAAAACTCAGTATATATAATATATATGTGTGTAATATTTATATTTACTAATAAGTTTTTAAATAAAAATTTAATTTCAAATCTTATAAGTTTTACTTGCAAGATAGGAAAGTTAATGCCAATAATTTCCTTCTCCCTATTGTTATCATACATTATATATATATATATATATATATATATATATATTTTCACTTTGTATCTTTCAGTTATATGGAAGTACTGAAAATTTATTTGCTAAGTCAAGACGGAATACTAGCTACTTTCGGTGACAATTTTCAGATTACTACCTTCAATTAGGTCGATTTTTCAGATTACTACCTCCAATTAAGTTGGTTTTCAGATTACTACCTATTAATTTATTATTTTTTGTTTGAAATACTTGACTAATTTTTTTCTTTAATTTAGTACTTGACGTTGGTCCCCCTCTGTCAAGTGATGACGTGGCAGACCGTCTGCCACGTCATCACCCAACAGTGTTTGCCATGTCATCACCATGTCCATGTGGAAGTCCCTTGGATGACGCGGCAGACACTGTTGGATGATGACATGACAGTCTGTTTGCCACGTCATCATTTAACAGAGGAAACTAACATCAGGTACTAAATTGAAGAAAAAAAATTTGTCAGCTAATTTTAACAAAAAAAAATTTAAAAGTACTAATCTAAAAATCGAGCTAATTCGAGGTAGTTTAAACATATTTAAGCCTATATTTTATATACTTCACATGTTTAGTGAACATGTACATACTAGTAATAATATATTTTTTTTGTACATACTAGTAAGTTTTATTTTTGGATAAAAGAAGGAAATAAAAAAAAGGAATAAAATTATAATCTAAGACAGGTAGATTCAACACATTTATAAGTAACTATTCACATAAAATATAAGCTCCAAAGAGTAGTCCTTTGCAAGATAATCTGTACAATAGTTTCCTACACGTAGGGAGTGTAACAATTCCAATTTCCAATCTTCTTTAAATTAACCTCTGATGACTTCCATAATTTTAGCATACCTATGACAAATATTGGTATCACATGTGATCAAACACATAACATGCAGAGTCTGAAACATAAATTACATCAATAAAATTCAACTACCATGTCAAAGGGACCTTGACGAACAAATTCTAATATGCAACACCAATATCACCATAGAACTCATGAATCCAACTATCATTTGAGCCCTAAACCCTAAACCCCTATATCCTACGAGTCTAAGATTAGTTTGGCAGTTGACATCTACATCCAAAGTCACCTCATTAGAGTGTGAATGAGTACAAGTAACCATTTATTGATGTTCTTCTAGCATAAGACTTCTAGTGTTGTATTCAAATGTCCTTTGCACACTCATAAGATTGCAAATAGTATGTTTAAAAGAGAAATTTTAATGGAGTAATTCAATTTTTAAAAATTTCTTAAAATTTTAATATTTCAAATTCTCCCAAATCATTTGTAAAATCAATCTACCTTTTCCAAATTTTGTTAAATTCTTCTTTCTCAAAAAGTTTATTGGATACCAAAAAGAATGACACTCAAGGAGAAAGAAGAAACCGTGCTAGCACCCACAGCGTGTAACAAGTCCCACATCGGGGAGGTCTCCTTACCAGGGAGGCCTTATAAGGCGGGAGGTTCTCCAACTTCTTGGGCCGGCTTTTGAGGGATGGTTCCCCTCCTTAGCCTTATGCTCGTTACAATGGTGCTTTCGTTGAGAGCCAGCCAAATCGAGAAGGGCTACCCACGGAGGGTTCTGACCACCGGAGGGTTCTGACCGGCAAGGGCCGAGTGAAGTACCGGTGAGTAAAGTACCGTGGAGTGCAGCCATCGAGGACGCTGGCTTTCGAAGGGGGTGGTAATGTAACAAGTCCCACATCGGGGAGGTCTCCTTACCAGGGAGGCCTTATAAGGCGGGAGGTTCTCCAACCTCTTGGGCCGGCTTTTGAGGGATGGTTCCCCTCCTTAGCCTTAT